GGCTTCTGATGAGCCACACCTGTTCTCAGGTAAATACCAGAAGCAGGTGTGGCTCATCAGAAGCCAAGTGGGACAGAAAACCTACTGGATAGTAGCTCTCCAGGACCGGAGTTGGAAACCCCTGCTCTAGAGCAATTGGGGGTTAAAGGCCTTGCTTAAGGACCCTATGATGAAATCACTCTGCCACCCCTGGGACTCTAACCAGCAACCTTCCGGCGTCCTAAACAGCCATCATCACCACACACCACCCCTGATAAGTCAAATATTTATCGTAAGCAAATTTAACAAAATTCATCACAGCGAAACTGCCACTCATTCATATCCCGCTATTCTGAAGAGGGAATGGAGAGAGCTGCAGAAAATGCTGAATTAGCCAAGGCGGTCCAGCAACGATTTGAGCTGAATTAGCTCCGATTTCCTTGACAGCCTTTTGCATTTGCGTTCACTCTCCCTCACTGTCACTTGCCCCGAATAGGACAGACTTTGCAGACCTTCCAGGTCGTACCTGCCTGTCAGAGGTGGAGGGAGGCTACGTTTGCTCAGTGACGCCAACTCCAGGCTGTCTGGCTTCTTCCCGTCTCTCCCGCTCTGCATGTGCAGGTACTTGAAGATGTGCACCTTGCCTTTAAGACAGATCTGAAAGGAAGGAAACGGCTGCAGTCAGGCTCAAACACGCAGACCCTGACGAGCGAAAGGAATCACCCAACAGGTGACCTCTGGTTGGCTTTCTTCGAACGGGATCATCATCAGTAACAGGAGGACTGAGGATCGTGACTGGAGCCTAATTCATGCTTCACTTTTCCGCAGATGCATTTCCAGGCTGCAGATGGTCGAATGCGCGGCAGCTTGTGTTCTTACTAAATTTGGCCGCGGATGCAGAAGGTTACGGTCGGTGCATTAATACAGCGGTGATATTCCACCAGACCAGCAGAGGGCAGATGTACAAACACAAATACAAGGAGTGTAGTGAAATTGGTAAGTTTTTATGAGCAGTTTTCAAGTTACTAGTCAAGGCTTGGGTGGTATTATGGCAATAAGGCGTACCGCGGTGTTTAGAAATCCTTACACCAAAATTAGCCAGATCTCCACCCACTCCCTCAGTGAACTTTATTGCCAAGATTTCAAAATACAGGAATAATGCTGCTTTTTTTTAAATACCACATACGTCAGTATGCCTGGACAGTATGAAAAATGAGATATGTGGGTACCTATGACCCTCCTCATACAGCTGCTCACCATAAGAACTTCACCAACAACACCTATTCTTCCTCTACTCTTCTATCATTGACTACTGATCTGTGAAAGTCAGCACTGCCACCTACTGTAAATACCTAACCAATTAAATTTGCACATGTGTGGCTGCAGTCGAGGTTTCTACTAGACATAAAATTCAGGGCTATATGCGCACCGACCTCTGATGACAAAATTTACGTCACCTCACCTCGTCCACAACCAGAAGCACACGCAGACAAGTGAAGTACGAACTGGCCTTAAGGGATACATGCAGGAGCAGACGATCCCCTCAAGAGGGCAATGGAGAGCTATTGCTCAGAGGCAGGGCCAGACTACGGTAAAATGAAACATTATATGAATTTTAAGGTTATCAATATTGTGGTATAAAAATTTATTAAAATTCAGAAGTAGGGGGTTATGACTAGGTTTGGCGTCATTAATATTAAATTTCATACTTTTTAGTATATTTCACATTAAAGACTAGCTATTACCTTTTCATTTGGACAAACAGCCTGGAAAATCTAGAATAATGGCTCATTTATTAGTTCATTTGTTTACTATGCAGCGTCTAGCTGTTATTGTTTGGAAGGAAGCTCACGCCTTTACAGTCCTGCTGTTTATATTTACCGGAGTGTGGGACACAAACACACCTGTGCAGGTGGAGACTGCAGGGGATTGTTGTCCAGAACAAGAAGCTGAAGATGCCTGAGATTGCGGAAGGCGGGCGGGATCTCGGTGATGCTGTTGCAGGAGAAGTCCAGGATGGTGAGCGGCAGGTGAGCCAGGCCTGGTGGGGGGGGACAAGGACAGCCTGAGTCTTTGCTGTGCAGGTGGCACACAGCCATAGGGGGACACAAAGCAATGAGGCAAAAAAGACACAATTATTCATTCATCTGACGCGTTTATCCAAAGGGATGCACAGTAGACAGAAGGGTTGCAATTTATGCGTTTTCCCTGGGATCTGAACCCAGGATCCTTGTGTTGTGAGCATAACGCTCTACTTGTGTTTATGAGACAATTTTTCAGTCCCCAAAAGGGGAAACTCAATTTTATAAAAACCTGTGACTGCAATCAAAAGACTAAGAATGTGAAAAGCCTTGTATTTTGTTTGGTTATGTATGATTAAGGTTAAGGTTGTCATTGTTGGGATTAAGGTTTTGCCAACAGAAATGAATGGACGGTCCTCACAAGGATATGGATACAAGCGTGTGTCTGTATGTGTGTGCGTGTGTGTGTGTCTGTGTGTGTGTGTGTGTGTCTGTATGTGTGTCTGTGTGTGAGTGTGTGTCTGTATGTGTGTGTGTGTGTGTGTGTGTGTATGTGTGTGTGTGTGTGTGTGTGTGTGTGTGTGCATACTTAAATAAAAAGCAGGGAATCTCTTCTCTGTCCTGCATGCAAGAAGTTACCTAAGGCCGGGGGCTTAAGAGAACTGCACTTTGGGCCACTTAATTATAGACGTTGTTTCCTTAGATAACATACAGCAGGTTCAGCAAAGTCCAGCTGTCTAAATGCATATAGTTTACAAAAAATAAGTCAACTGCCAACAACAAATGTGACAGACAACTAAGCATCTACAAAGTGAGCAAGGTAAATAAATAGTACAAGGATGGGGAGACACAGGGATCGATTTCCACACCTTCTGGCAGAGAATGCAGGCAATTTCTGCGGACGTTGAGTTCCCGTAAGGACTGGAGGTTTCCCATCTGAGACGGGAGGGCCTGGATCTCATTACAGCTGATGTCCTGAAAACAGGAAACAGGAGGACAACTGTAGGTCCTTCCTCATACACGTGCAAACGGGCATTTTTTCACAGCGTCAGTTAGTGGTTCAGAAACCACCTTTGGGAAAGTACCTTCAGGATATATCCAGCTGGTTACTTATATAAAATCTGTGTCGAAGTAATGGAATAAATCTGTGAGCCAATGCTTCCACTAAGCCAATAAATTATGTAACTCACTGTCAACAACAGCACCAGTCCAATCAATAGATATGAAATATAAGCACAGACGGTCTTACAGGCATGCAGACGCTGGCAGCCTGTGACGTGTACGGTCGTGAAAGAATGAGTAGTGCAAAGGACAAGAAGAGGCGAGATAGAGCAAACCGTTTTCAGGGGTATTGACTCGCTCACCAGCTGCATAAGGTGTGTGGACTTCCCGATCTCCTCAGGTACAGACATCAGCTTGTTGTTGCTGACAACCAACACTTTGAGTGGCAGGTCAAACAAGTACTTGGGCAGCGCTGACAGCATGTTTCGACTGAAAATAACGAGAAAAAAAAAAAACTTCTTTTAAATTTACTCGTAAATTTCATTTTATCTGAAACAGACGTGGCAAGTAAGGAAATTAGACACGATAGGTGGCTGAATGTGAGGAGATGTGCATCGGTAACAGTGCTTTGAAAGTGGGAGGGTGTGAGAACAATACTAAAGACAAAAATAAATAAATAAAACATCAGGGTATTTTTGGCGCGGGGCCCATGACAGCAGCAGACATGAAGGCGCAGTGTGCAGGGTCTGTCCCATATTGTTTGCTTCTGTCAACCTGCAGTCATCTCCCATTAGAAATGTAACGTTTATGTATTAACTTAGTCATGTGGCAGAATGTGGAACTAAAACGCGGAAGAACAGAGACACTCACCAAAATCAGACTACACAATACCACAGCTGACACGCCGCTCCGCTGATTTCATCTACTCCCTCTAAAAATCAGTGTCAGGTCCTCCCTACTGTTTCTATTCCCCTTGCGCCAGTGTTTATAGTTTTTAGAGGAAGAATGTGACCTTCCACAAAGAAACTGAGCAGCTAAAATCAACACAAAATGATAGCTTGGCAGCTCCTTGAAGAAAAATACCTAAAAGTCTCTATTTTGAGCTCCTTTTACAGTAGCCTTCGGCAACAGGATAATATTAGGTGTTTTGTAGTCTGAAACATCACTTACAGAGTCCTTAATTCTGCTGGTTTCTTTTCTTAAGATGGTTCATAATATGTAAATAGGGGTATATACAGGGGCGGGGTAAAAGGGGCACTGGCCTCAGCTGAGAGATGATTGGCCTGCTCCCCTGTCACTCACAAAGTTAAAAAATATTATTGGCTGATAAGACTGGCCCTTTTGTATGACTAAAGCCCCTTCTAATGCACCCCAACCTAAAAGAAATCCTAGACTTGCCCCTGCAAGCAAAAACTGCTTGAAAAAAAACAGTAGGATCTCACCTGACATTCAAGTATGTCAGCATCTGAAGATTGATGATGGCCTTTGGGATACCCTTGATGCAGTTGTGGTACAGGTTCAGCGACTCGAGAGGGGCGAAGAGGCAGACTTCAGGAGGAATTTCCGAAAACCTGTTCTTTGAAAGATCTGAGAATGGAACAAATGAGAGAAAACACATGGGATGTTTACCTAACGATGCACTTCAGTCATTTATTGGCACTTAATACAGCCACCATACTTCACCTTAAAAAAAAAACTCCATAGTTTTATCTGTTCTTCACTGATTTATGCCCACTGTTGATCTCAAAAAACGGAAACTGGAGCCAAACTGCACACCGATAGGCACTGGTAATTCCAATTAGCCTCAGCATGTTTTTGGAAACTGGAGTTCCTGGAGGAAACCCCACGACAACATCTGGAGAACATGCAAACTCATGGAGCCATGGCAGAGACTCGAACCCTGGCGTCACCGTGCTGCCCAAGTTTTCCTTTTATATAGCGCATACATTCAGAACTGAATTTAGGAAATATTTCTTATTTTATTTTATCATTATCATTAGTTTAGCATTATTAGTTTATGTAAAAATTTAGTCAGAATTCTTAATTTTTTAGAGAGCCAAAGGGAATCCATTTGTGCATGACAACCTCCAGTCTATGCAGATTACGATTAGTCTGCTTTATTCAAGACAAGAAGCAAAAACTGACATTTTATGAAAAAAGGTATGGCCACTGCTACTCCACTAAATTCAAGAGCACAGCGCACCATCTGCCAATCCCCCTGATTGCTGAAATTTCCCAGCAATTCAGAGCCTCTCCTTTGGACAGAGATGAGAAGGCTTGGCTCAATAGGCCCATTGCTCCACCCCCAACATAGCACAAGCAAGTTCGGAATCGTAAAAGGGGCAGGGAGGTCGTGCAGAACCCTAGGAGTAAACACTCCCATGGCGAACCTGTCCAAGCTGCCTAATCCTCTCACTGCAGTGAGACCAGCCCCTGCTCTGGATTTCACTATCAGTAACAGGAGATGCAATTACAGTATATGGTCTATATTTACTTTTCTAAAAACATTTATACGCGGCAGATTGTATTGGTTGAATTTATCACAGATGCATACATAATAAAGAAATCCAGATTAAGAATTACAGATGCATATGGTACATCCAAACCCCTTTACATAACTGTAAATCGTACAGTGGCAGACAGACAATATCCCATCTGAATATGCAAAGATGCCTCCATGTTCAGTTGTAAAGCTTACAGGAATCAGCCTCATAAGAGAATGTGTAAGACCCTTTCAAATGAGAGGATTGTTAAGGGCAGGATTGCTGGGCAATTTCTTCTTTGATAAGAGGGAATAATTTTCAATACATACTGTAGATGAAAATAGTTTCAACCCAATTATTATGAGAATTATCAGAAGAATTACTCCTTCGGGACAGAACCAAAAGACATGGACAGTTATTGGCACAACAGAAGCAGTATCCAAAGAATCTGTAGTGGAAAAATGGAAATAGGAAAGAATGTTGCATGTTAATGTTCTCAAAAATGACTTGCAAAAAGCCAGACTGCAAAGTGGCACATAAAATTGTAAACTAGGGGCAAACCGTCTTCCTACGTATGTGTACAACTTCAAGAAGAAACACTGACGTGCTGTGGGGTCTGTTTCGCTCCAAACAGTCATGCCTGAAACTCAAGCAAGTTCATTTTCAGCCAATGAGGAACTATTGAAAGAGTCTGTTTGCTTGTGCCAAGTGTGGGATTATTAATTAAAGTCGTTTTGTCATTAGCTGTTATCCCCAAGTATCTCAAACCAGCAAGTCAAAAACGTTCTTTGAAGGGGAATGGAAGCTGAAAGAGAGCCTCTGGAAAAATATCTTGACTCTAATTAGGCGTGGAGAAAAGCAGAGTGAATACCTTCTCTCTGCCGTGGGGAACACAGTCCTCTCCACCCCTCCCTATGGCTCGGAAAGGAGACAATTTCCTTAGTATGGTTTTCTTTCTGTTAATTAGGATTCTGATACACTGAAATCAGGTGAAGGCACATTAATCTGATGAATGCATTGTGAAGCTAAGATGAAAGTCTTTGACTGACTGGTTGTGCGAATGAATGCAGTGATTCACACAATCCATTCCTTCTCCTATCTTTCATAAGCACTTATAGAAGTTAAGGGCTCAGGGCTGAGTCTGGAGCCTATCCCTGATAGCATGCGGCAGGAGGCTGCGGGCAGCCTGCAAGGGCCGCGATTCTTCCACAAATTTAGGAAAACTATAAAATAAAGTTCACATGAAATATCTACAGGGCTGCTGGTCAGTCAGCATTTAAATGCACTGTAATCCAAATTACAATAAAAGGACATTTACTAAGGGTGTTTACTGAACCGAGTCGTCGTGGTTTTCAGAAAATAAACACAATGCGTGACTGCCCGTGAGGACTGACTCGGCACAGGGGAGAAAGGCGAGGGTCTTGGGAGAGCAGCTGAGAAACAGAATTAAAGTCTAGTCTTGATAAGAGCTCCAACAAAGACATAGAAAATCTATTCAACCAAGCTAACATACTGTGCCAAGCAGTAACAAAACACAACAAGAACCAAGGTTATGGGGGATGGTGTTTTTGAAAAGCTCATAATCAAAGCTTTTAATGACAGGTGAGATTCTAACCCTCAGTCTTACTGATACTCTATAATTGTGTTTGTGACCAAAATATGCAAAAGCTCACAAGCATATACATACACACCAATACATACACATCAATACATACACACCAATACATACACACCAATACATACACACCAACACAACAGTCAGTGTGGTTATATTGCACCTCAGGTCTATTTGCTGAAACTTTAACACAGAGGACAGTTGGCAAAGGAGCAAGTACAAAGACATTTAATGTGCAGCTGGGCTCTCTCTCGCTCTGAGTAAAAACCCATTCTCTGCAGATGGAGGAACCAGTAACACAATCTAAGTGTCTGATATTACTGGGCAGATTATCGATCAAACTACCGCTTCATGGTCTAACTGCGTTATGTCGTCCGAGGTCCCGCTCAGCGCCCTCCTTCACATCAACAACTTACCTAAACATTCATTCCTCCTCTAAACTGAGAGCAGAGCTGCTGAAATTACTTTCACTTTCTCAGTCCATCGCGCTACATAACGCTGATCACAAATATAAATTAAAATTCGGGAATGGAAAAATATCGTCATATTTTTTGTGCATTATGATGCGCACGTCCCTGCAGCCTTGACCTGGATAAGCAGTCGAAGGATAGATGGGCAGGTTTTGTGCATTTACTAGTGGTCCTTTTTACAGCTCTTTGTTACGCCCGTTTTAAAAGGCTGTTATATGTCACGCTACTATATTACAAGCTCATGAAAATGAGTGATTTAATGGCATGCAACCAGAAAGGGACAGAAGGACGTTGCTTTCCAAAATTTTCTGGTGATTGATAAAATGAACAGAAGAAATGCCTGACCTTTCATGATTTAATCCACTTTCAGCACAGTTTGCCTCTCTAGTTGCTAAGCACATGCAAAAATCACTCCCCGAAAGTTGGGTGTCTCACATGTACAAGAATCACTCTTAGGCTACTGGCTTAATGGGAAAACTGCTATCATACTGGCTTTCCGGGACAGATAATGGTTTCGTTATATGCAGCAGCAAAATAACTGAAAGGTCTCTATTTTAGTTCTGCATATTCATAATATATAGTAAAATTGCAGTAGAAGTACATAGATCATAACCTGATTCGGCATCATGTCTCCTAATGAAGAGAGATCCTAACGATTCATTAAGTTATTCCTGGGAATAATAATCCCACAGCAGCCCAGTGTTGGTGCAGCAGACCAGAATCGTAATCCATTCTTTTGAGCAATGAAAGAAGGGATTTATCTCACGACCGGCATTCCCTGTTAATGAGACATGGACAGGAAACAGACTGAATTTTATATGTCTATCCATTTCACGTTCCGGGCAACGGGAGACAGCTCTCTGAAAGCTTGCGTTCGGTGGTGCCGCATGACATTCCTTCCCCTCCTTCTGAATCACCCAAGCAAAGGGCCTGTCATCCATGACAAAATAAAGAGGCAAAAAAACATGTCACATGCCCAAAATTCAAATTAAGAGAACACCCACCGACCCACCCACACATACGCTCCATCACCTAACAAGATCACGGTTCCTTTTTCACTGCGTGGCCCATAATCCCCCAACCATGTATATGTCAGTCTTATTATATGCATTCCAAGAGGCGCCTTATCTTTCCAAAACAGAATTACATTTTCGACCATATCTGGGAACTCGGTAGGAAAAACCTTTGACAGACTGAGTGTACAAAGAGATAAAATAAAGGCTGTATGGGTATTTTAACAATTCCTTGTCTTAACAAAGATATTTCACAGTCAAATCCAGCTTAACCCAAAGTAGACTGAATAGCATTGTATCAACACTTATTCAAAACACATCCTTCATGTGTTACACTAACCTAAACAGATTTGAACATGTCACTACTTGAAATACAAGCCAATGACGTTATTACGCAGAGCACACAGAGCAGTGCAATAAGAGAAAGCCTGTTCAATTGTCCGGGCCAAATCTGTATTAATTTAAACTGTGCAAACGATAAATGGACACAGCCACAAAAATGTATCAATTCATTACTATATATTATCGTTAAAACTGTTTAATATTCTACATTAATTGGAGTCATTCTTAAATATACTGATCTTTCCTAAAGGCATTTTAAATGGATTCTGCATTCACTCAGCCTGTAACAACTATTATCAGTAAATTATCTTCTATAAAAGAGAATATAAGCTACTGATTTCTCATAATGACATGCTTCTGAAGAGATATTCATTCATTGCGTTTTTTTCCTTAAATTGCTGACAGTATGGCTCGGACAAACTCAAATTCGCTACAGCATTTGATACCATTTTCACCCAGGTGCTGCAATAAAAATATTCATAATGTTTAGGCCTATCATTCGGATTTCTGTTTGGAGAAATGATTCCAACGTTTGGTCAAATTCAGTGAGTTCTATTGTTCTAGTTCTTGAGTTCCATAGCTCTGAGACGTCCTCAGGAGTCGCCTACTCACGCAGATGTTTAACAGAAGGCAGTTAGGGGACAAGCGTTCAGGGATTTAGTCT